TGGCCACAGAACCACCACCCTTGACACTGACTGACTCAGAACTAAGGGCTTCGCCATAGCTCCTGGCCACTCACACTTTCCACACGTGCGGCCTGTGGCCAGAAAGACCAGCATTGACCACCTAAATGGAATTTTGCCCTATATTAAGAATAGCACATGTATTGGGTTAGAACCCCAAAGATTTCCTTTTCCTCCTGCCAATATCATAAGGGGTTGAATATTTATAAACTTAAAATAAGAAGAAAAAAAAAAGTGCTTCCCTAGAATTTGAAAAACAATGAAAAATCTGCACATAAGTCATACAGAAAAAGCGTCCAGCATTGTGTTGTGAAGATATTAGTCACCTCAGCAGTAATGTTCCTTTAGAACTACAGTATGAACCTGTCTCCACTTCTGTAGAATTACAAATAAACTTTTTATGGTTTCTTATTCATCCTGGGTAGGTTCGATCAAAGAAATCCCTTTAAAAGAAGTTGTGTTTGGCATTTCAGTTGAAAAAGAATTGTTACTATTGTTAGAAGATTTAACCTATTTAAAAACAATAAACTCGATGCCCAAGTGCCTTCTCTAAGTAGCCAGTGACCAACCCAGAACAAACATCCCTCTCTGCTATGTCATCTTCCCTGGCCCCTCAGCTGGGGCCCAGGCTACATCTTCGTGGTGTAGCCCAATCCTTGAAGATGTGATATTCAAAACTCCTGTATGTTTTGATGTGAAAACATGGCAAGATTTTATTACCTGTGTCTATATTTTCCTCAACACTCAGCAGTAGCGAAAGGAAAACATTTTTTCCATGTCAAAGAAAAGCTTCTCCTCAGAAATCATGTGGGCTCCATTTGTAAACCGACTGGGACTGGTGCTGCTTCAGTAAATGTGGAGTCTTTAAAAAGACAAGTGCGGCTTAAATGTGAGGGTCCCTCACCTCCTGGGTACTTCCTGTCACTTCCCTGTGGTCACAGGACAGTGTCATTTCTGGTTGGTGGATGAGCCAATCAGTGAAAGGTGGTTTATAGCAGCGTTTTATAATCTTAACATATTTTGACACCAATTTTAAACCATGTCTCAAGAGGAAAACAAACCATTAGCATTGAAAAATAAAAGTGGGGTTACACTGTAAGCAAATTAGATGCAATAAAAATTTTTCCTTGCTGGTTACCCTCCTTAGGTCCAAACGGCTCCTGCTTCTGTACTTGATATCCCAAATCTACATGGGGGTGCTCCATCCATCCCCCGCCCCGCCCCCATTGACTGATGAATCATCTGTTTTCTCCAAAGAAGTAAGATAGTAAATTCAAACCTCGTGAAAGGAAGGATATAGTGACTTCATGTTTTTTAAGAAGGAATTTATTTTTTTGACTTTTTGGTCTGGAAACTTTCAAATATGCACAGCAGTTGGGAGAATACTAAGCAGAACGCCACCTACCCAGGGCCCAGTTCGCCAATTTTCAAGTTTGCCAGGCTTGCTGCTTTGGACAGCAGTTTTAGTATAAACACTCTGCTCTCTTTCTCGTGAAAGCAGTGTCCCTGAGAAGGCCCTCAGCATCTCGTGCAGGAGTGGCTCTGAGCCCTGGCTCCAAACCACAGACCTAACGCAAGCCCTGAAAAGCAAGCACGGTGCCAGCTCTGGATTCATGCTTATACGGAGCATAATTGCCCCACCTTCTTTCTGCTTATATGTACTTTAATCCAGTCCTTGTAAAGAAAAGGTCACCATTACTTTCAAGGTCCCCACTGCCCAGAGATCATGTGGATGAGTCGAGGGCACAGAAGCAAGGAAAGCCTCCATTTATCCTGTCCACCGCAGACCAAAGAAATAGTGCCCCTCAGCCTCACCAGGGCTTGTGAGAAAGCCAGGTGCAAGTGTTTTGCCAAGACGAGGCAACACAGAAGGCCGCAGAATATAAGTGTGAATCACATTAAACTGCAAGTCAATGAGAAGTGGCTTGAAAAATTAAAAGTGGGAGGTGTAAGGCAGAGTCAGTAGTGTGTGGAAAACACAAAATGTAAGAGAGCGTGCTTCTGGGCTTCTCTCTCCTGGGACCCCATATCCAGTTAGTGATTCTGAAGAGAAGTGACACACTGCAGAGGCACCTGTTTTGATGGGCAAGTTGATTTTTCCAGATTTCTAAAAACAGAGGGTTTGGTGAGGTTTGGAAAGTCGAAGGTTTTGAAATTGTGTTGACTGGCGAGAAGTCGAGGGGTAAATATTCTGGGTTGCGGCCTGAAGACAAATCTGTGTTCTAGACAGCCTCTGGGAAAGCTGGGAAAGGTCAAAGTGATCATGTACGCGGAGGCTCACCCAGCCCTGGCTGTCAGGTGCAGCCGGCCAAGAGGCCAGGGAAGGCAAGGTCTCAGGTCTCGGGGAAGACTGGTCTGAACCAAGACGCTGTCTGAAGGTCTCATCTCGCCGGTGCCTTGTGTCCCAGGAACATTTTGATGACTGATCTGTGGATCTCCGTATAATCCTCCTGGTAACACTCTTCCCCTCTGATGAAGTTTGCCTTTGCTAAATAACTGTCTAAGCACTTTACAATTGAAATGAACGTCTGTTTCATTTATTCATGATTCAAAGGCTTATCTGCCATCATTCCATGTGGCTGAGTTGATTCAAAACTACAAGAGCAAACTGTTTTTTCATAAGACTGCACATTGTTCTTTAATGCAGTTGAGTGGTTTGTTTTTAATTATGTTTATACATTTTTTTCTTAACATAAGCATGGCCCACAATACTCTTCTCCTCCCACCCCCAAACCCACCCCCACCAACAGAAAAGCTCAAGTACTGGCAACAGGTGTGATTCATGGGCCTATCAGGGGCCTCTTACTCCCCTGGAGAGGCCATTAACATAAAACCTTTTACACGTTAATTTTCTCTATTTTAAACAAAGAAATCAAGTTACCCTATAATCCTCCTCCTTTTGAGTGTGTGATATGTACATTCATTATTCTTATAGTGCTTTTTATGTGATTTACATGGGGCGGGTCATTCTTTGTTGCAGACCAACAGAGCGCTTGAGAGTAGCTTTCTGCAGCAAGCTGGCTTCCTTAAAGGAGGAGTAGCTGGGAGGGGTCCAGTCAGGAAACAAGTTACTACAGCAGAGCTCGGAGATGAAGAACCATTTATTTTGCAGAATAGGCAGTTTAGCTGTTCAAGATGGGTTTTGTGATCTATCTTTAAGGCAGTGCTGGGCATCGCCGTCTTTATCCAGGGCTTTTCTGAGGAATAAGCTAAAAGTGGTGATTTTCTTCGTGTGTCCGATTCGAAGGATTTTAAGTAAAGAAGTCACACTTCAAAGGAAGTTCCTGCTTGTACCGATGGCGGGCTATGGTCACTTGTCCTTATGTGGGGTTCTGAGCATGGACCCCATGTCTAATCAGTTCTTGGAGTACAGGGCCAGGGACAGCTACCAGTGTGAGCTGTCACGTTCCTTTCATCTATCCCATTTGAATGTTTTTGAAAGTGGAATACTATTTGGTTACTCTTCAATTTTTAAACTGATTTTTAAATAGATAATAAAAGTAATTTCTACACATACTGCTCTCACTGATTAACCTTAGGGAGATCCCATTTTTCATCTTTAGTTAGTCTGAGCTAATTTAAAAAGTAGTACCTTTTTGAAAAGCAAATGCAATTTCACTTCCATTTTGATGATGCCGATAAAATGCTGTAGACTTAATAGTCTCTTCACTCTGCCCAGCAGAGAGGAAGGACCAGCGCTAATTCCTTTACCTGGCCTCTTGGAAATTGTTCCATTCCCAGGATACTTCCGTCTCCCACCCAGAGTTCACAGCAGCTGTGCTGGCCCCTCCCCCCCACTGGCCCGGGGATAGTAGTGAGCGGGCGGTGGGGAGGACAGCGGGCAGCAAGATCACAGCTACAGGTCTGCAGGAGGGGCGAGACAGGAGCAGGCCAGGACATGGGTCGTGCACATCTTTATTTTTTTTTTTTTGATGTAAATGAAAATGAAAAAAAAAAAAGAGGTTCTTAGCTTGGGGTCCCTCTTTGTGTTGGGGGGGGCTCAAGCAATCTAAGGATTCCCTGAAATCAGATGCAAAATTATCAGCATGTTTTTCCATGCCTGGGGTGACCTGCTTAGCATTCATCAGACATCCAGGTGGATCTAGAATTCCAGAGAAGGCTAAGAACTGTGTCTACACATAGGAAAGACTGACATTGCCTTGAAAGACTTTCAGTGGATATTAACTTAGCCATTGTATCTGTGCTGGACACGCACTGCGCTCCAGCATGTCTGCACAGAGGTGTAGCTGTCCCAGGCCCCAGGCGGGCTCCAGATTTGCACATCCCCAGCCCTCCCCTGGCCTCCCACCTGTGTTCTTCTGCTGCTCCAGCCCAGCCTTCTTCCTCCTTCCCCCCAGGCTCTGCATCACTTCTGGGGCCACTTCTAGCTTCCTGCAAAGGAGGACTCTGACGCACCCCACACCCACTTCTGCGAACACTGCCGGCTTCTCCAGCACCCTTTCCCAGTATACCTCAGGGGCCTCTCCCTGCTCTTCAGCTATTCAAACAGCAACCAAAGCAACACCTGCTCACCCTTTGCCACCCCCATCCCACCCCCCATCTGACTCCAAATAGGATCGAGTCCTGCACTGAGTTATGAGACCACACGTGGCCTGATGCGACTTGACCACCCGGCCCCTGCGTGGCATGTCCTCCGGTGCCAGGCCCCACGCTGCCTCTGCGGGTCCCTCCAACAGGGCTTTATTTATTAGGTGTTTTTGGTCCTAGGCTGCTAATCCAAGAGATATTTCCATAAAATGAGTTGACATCTGCCAGTGTGCCTGCTTTCTGATTTGGAATTTCTTATGCTAGGTATTTCTAAAGTAGAAAACACCTGGCTCTGACATTAAGAAGTCTGGACTCCCACCCTCCCGCCTTAGGAATAATAGTAATAGAGATCTGAAGCCTTTTTAACGCCAGTTCATGTGGTTAAACTTTCTTTCCCCAAGGCTGCCAATCTTAATTGTCTCACGCCGTTTCAGGCTTTACAGGAGGAGCTGGAAACCCGCTCTAACCAGGTGCGCAGTGCAGAGAAGAAGCTACAGCACAAGGAACTGGAGTCGCAGGAGCAGGTACTTTCCTCTCTGCCAGGGGCCCCTGATTTTCACCCTCCAGGTCAGCAGCTCACGCATCTCCTGTAGGGAAGCTTCCGCCACCAAGAACAGGACACACCGCCCCCAGCTGTCACAAATAGCTGAGGGATCATTACCTTTCGTACCACCAGAAGTCTGGAGGTTGGGGGGCTCTGGCTCTGTTCCTTGGGCATCCTCGTTCCTCAGGCATCCTCATGCCCCATCTCCTGTGAGGGTGTCATTCTAAAAGCATTTCCGAGATGACAACATCAGTTCCAGACAACCATCCAGACCTAGCAGACAACCATCCAGACCTAGCAAAATTCAGGACAGAAAGGGACTGTGTCCCAGGGATCCTCTTCTGAAGAGTCAGGAAACCTTTTCCAGAACCAGCCCCTACACACCCCTCCTCTTCATATCATTGGTGAGAACCAGATCACATGCTCAGCTAGGCATGTCCAGTCCACAACAAGAAAATGGAAGCCTAGACCAATAAAGAGCTACCTGCTTGTGATGGAGTTAGCAGAGCAAGGACAGGCAGGAGGGGCAGTGGATGATGGGGATGCAGCTAACTGTGTCTGCATGTCACCACTGTCACATCAGTGGTCATTATTCGACTTAAAGATATGAATCGTGTTTTCCTTTGAATTTGAATTTTCTTTTCTTTCTATTATATTAAGAAAGTAAATCTAATATGACCAGAATAGTCTGTCTATGACAATAGCTAATGATCGATCTTATTTTCAAGTGAAAGGATTATTTTAACCCAGTTCTGCTGGTTGAATATAGTGAATTAGCCTCTGTGGTAATTTTGACGATTTAAGCTAAAAAGTCAACAGTGTATCAATAAATATTGTAAGTCTGAAGCCTTTATAAATGCATTGTACAATATTTGGCCATGGGGTTTAATAGCATTGTTGATATTCTAAGTCTGATATCCTTAAGTCTGAAGCCTAACCCTGGTATTAGCAGATGTTTATATATTGGTTTTCTCATAGTAAGTTCAGGTTGAAAATATTAGGTCATTTTGACCTTGTGGGAAGAGTAAACACTGAAAGAAGGAAACTTTCATCTTTTTCTTTTAGCTCTGGAGATGTTTACAAACAGGATTTTAAGATGGAGGATTGTAGAAGTGGGCAAGTCAGCACCTCATGAAAACATTGAGTATCAATCCTCATTGAGCACCCTCTCCCATAATTTGCTCCTTATTTTTAATATATACCAGTGTGGTTTTTATGTAATGTATATGCCATATATATATATATAATGCATATACATGTGTATGTGATATATAGGGCCTGTGTTGTACAATCAATAGTAGGGTAGCAAAATCGGTTAATACTGGTATGAAAAAACTAATAACAGGTATATTTTTTTCAAGTGCCAAAAGATGACAAAGATACAGATTATTTGTCTTCATAATAGCCATATAAATCCAGTATTATGTAAAGTGCTTGAAAGGTTGAGTAACTTGTCCAAGACCACATTGTTAGTAAATAGTACGGTTGTAGGCAAACCTAGGTTTATCTGAATTCCAGACCTCTGCTCCTTCATGATACTTTTTTTTTTTTTAAGATTTATTTATTTGTGCATACAGAACTGGGGTACAGGCCAGAGGCTCAGGGGCGGTGAGAGGCTTCACCAGAGACAGAGTGGGGAACAGAACAGGCAGATCAACGAAGTACACTGCTGAGGGGAGCAGCGGGCGGGCCAGGAGAGGTCTGGCTCGCCATGTGGTCTCCTCCGGGGCAGGCGGGGATCGAACTCATGCGGAAGCAGCTTTAGATTCTCAGTGCTGTGCTTTAACCCGCTGCGCCACCAGGGAGGGCCCCATGATACTTTTTAAGTTGCAACATTACTAAATGACAAGAAAAGTGAGTTTATTGAGGATGTTAGGAAAACAGACTGTTCCAGAAATGTGAGCAGTAGCAAATGCCATTAACCCTCCTTGGGCAGAGAAGAAGAGCAGAGACAGACATCAGAGCAGGTTGGGCCAGGCGGCTGTGTGGTGTCCAGCAGCGGCGGCATCAGCATAGGTTCGCTGGTGCTTGACCTCCAGCCTCTGTCAAGGACACTGAAGCTGAAAGCAGACGAGCAGGAAGCAGCGCTCTCTGAAGCTTGGGGCTTCTCCAGTCCCTGAGAAAATATGACTCAAGGTAAAACTTTGTTGACATCACTCTAATTCATGGCAAAACTTCACACAGAAAATTCCATAATATATTGAGAGTAGGGAAATTAAGAAATCCCAAATGAACAATAGGGAAGGATTCAGGAACCACTTCAGTCTTTTTTTTATTGACTTCTTTTTGATCATCAAAGTTGCTTTCATCTTCGTAGTGACAATAGCTTTTTACAATATTTCTTGCACTAGGTTCTGATATCTTCTATTAGCTGCAGTTTACCAGAGAAATGTCAGGAAATACCCATGGGTAAAGCTAAATATTTCATAATATTTGCATCCATGAACTATTGGGTTCTTTCCATAAGGCCCTAGGAGGTAGCTAGAAAAAAAATACCAATTGTTGAAAATATAAGCCAAATAGCAAATGACGGTTAGTTAACAATTACACGTTTATATTCAATATAACTTTTATTTAATCTAAAATTTGACTATGCTTCCCCATTTCAATTTGAATGTACCACTAACAGAAGAGCTTGAAAATAATTAGAAGTATTGTCGCGTCCATTTTCTTTATAGATGAGCTCATTTAGGATTTTTACAATACTGAAATGGGAAATGATTTTTGGGTTTTGTGTCTTTTTGCCATCTGTCAAGGCAACTATAATAACAGTAGCTAGCCTAACATCAGCCAGTCAGAAACAACAGAAATGTACAGAAAACAGCTTTCTGAAACTTTCTTCTCTTTTCTTTTCAACCAAATATTATTATTCTGATACTAGTTCTATAAAACAACAAAATTGAAACTGGCAGAATTACAAAGGACAATTTCCTGCACTGCTTTTTTTAACTCGCCTGCTTAAAACAAGTTTAAATTGTCTCTGTTTTTCATTTTTTAAAAATCCTGTGTTTTTGATTCTATAAAAACAAAAAAATGAACGAGGCATTTTAAAAGTTGTGTTTTTAATTAAAAACAAAAAGCTGCTTCTCATCAGGCCTTGACGGGTGGTAGCTGTGCTGCCCACCACTCACCTCGTGACCCCCAGTCCTCCTCACTCCTCACCGTCGGCCGGTGTGGCAGTGGCCAGCAAGCCCAAGGAGGCGCATCCATCCCTTGTTACAAAGCATTAATATGCGCCTTGAGAAGCTTCTAAATAGCATGAGTAAAATTAGAAAATACTAATTTTCTGTCTAAATCAGCCTCACAGAAACACGACCCTTCCTGTCATCCATAAATAGTAATTTAAAATCATCACGATTTGTATCCATGCCAGAAGTTAGTCATTTCTAAGTCCAGATAAAATCTAAGCAAGAATCCTGTCATTGCAGCAAAGGATCTCAAAGCTCTGATCAGACCACTTCATTGTGCAAAGGAACTGAGTCAGAGGGAAAGGCTGTGCCCTCCCTGGCCAGCGGGAGAAAGAGGAGGCAGGTGGGCACAGGTGGGCGGCTCACCCCAGGCTCCTACTTTCCATTATATCAAACACCATGTAAAACGGACCACTACGTAAGATGGATCTGTGTTGCTTACTTCTCTGGTTCAGGTGTGTAGAACTAAAACTCACTTCCCTAACAATATCTCATTATTCACAATGAGACTAAGTAATTTGTGAGCCCTGGCCGAGATAATTCAGTCTTATAAAGTATAGAAAAGAGAGAGATCAAAAAGAAAGCAACTGTCTAAAAATTTACTTGGTATTCTTGACTCTGTATGAAACCTATTTAGCACGAAGGCACTGAACAATGCCCAGTGTTACTAATGTGGATAATCATATGCATGTAACAAAACTCCTCCTTTGAATTAGATAGCTTCAAGTTTTAAAGTATTTATAGCTTTGATTACCCAGGGCATTCAGTTTCCCCAAAGATTCTTTTAAATAAATGTGTGAGAAAAAAACACTCCTTCAGAGGTTGAATAAGTAAATTACAGTGTTCCACACTTGTAGCAGACAGGCGTTTTCACTCAACATTTGGTCCTTTTGATAGGCATCTTGCACTAGATGGATAAGGCCTAGTTGCTGCCCTCAAGGAGATTATAGTCTAGTTGAGTGAAAAAAACATGTGTAAGATGGCGATTTAAAGAAAGTTCTCGTTCTTCTAAAAGGCTTGGGGGCTCAGAATCACCCATGTGGAAAGAACACACGCATTGATACTGCCTTCCATCTTCTGACCCTGTGAGGAATGAAGGCGAAGATCTGTAGTCCCCGAAAGTCTCAGGGCCTGTCGCCCAGGCAGGGCTTGGCCCTTGCTGACATGAGTCTGTGGGGCTGGGGCACTCGCTCTTTGTAGGTGTCTCACAGAGAAGCCGCCGGCTGCTGTCCCACCCTGTTGTCTGGGCTGCTAGCAGGAACTCATGATTTTATGGCCAGTGTTTTGGGCACCAGCGGGTTCAGTCCTCAGCCTTACCTGATGTGAATGTCCAGGCACCAGTGGTCTAGTCCACACCTACATTTAAGCTGCCAGCAGCTCCTCGCAGCCCATCCGCTTTGAGACAGTTTAGATGTATTACTCAGGAGAGAACCTAGTCACCAAAGGTAGTTTTAATGATAATTGTTTGTGTTTAGGAAGAGGAGAGCAGAGCAGTCTCAGAAAATCCCCTCAAGACATGGGAGGGTGGGAACTAGGATGGGCTTTGAGTCCTGGTATGACTGGTCCTAGGCCCCTCTCTGCCACTGCAGGTGATATCACTCATGTTCCTAAAATGTCAGTAATCCTTCCCACGGGGTTGATGTAAACATCAAGCTAACATGGAGAAAAACTTTGAAAGCTCTAAGACCTAATGCAGATGAAATGTGGGCAATTATAAATATGTATAGGAGGAGATGGCAACAGATAGAGCAAGCATCGAGGAAAAGGGGGGATACTGGAACAGAATGAGGAC